CTGCGGGGACCCCGGGGGAGCTGCGGGGCCGGGGCCCCGCCGTGCTCGGGAGCCCGCGCGCCTCCTCGAGCAGCGCCTTAGGATTTTCCCTTTGTACCTGTGCTGCCATCTAGTCRCTCCTAAGGATGCCGTCACCAACAGGTGAGGCGGAACTTTTGGGAGTCTGTGTCCCTTCTCCCGCTAGGAACCACCCTCCGCAACTGCAGCTGGTGCTTGGGGTGGAAGCTGCCCCTTGGAGGCGAGGCGGGTGCCCTGCAGGGCTGGGAGTGACTCCTGTGCAAGGTGGGGGAAGCCAGGATCAGGCTTTGCAGGGCAGACCTTTGTACCAGGAGGGCAGTTCCTGCCTGGGGCTGGGCACATACGTGCCCGGAGAGGCACATAGTTGGGGTACGGCTGTAAGCTGCGCTGCACATGCAAACCACGGTGCTCTCGGGCACTGGGTCRTGGGGAGACAGAGGTTTTGGGGAGGCAGGACACCCCGGAGCCCTCGAGGGTGCTGAGGGGCCTCATCTGCCGCTGTGTCGATCGCGGCAGCGCGTTGCCGCTGCAGCAACCACTGTGTCCTCTTACGTTCCTTCCTCTGGGATGTGTAAGGTGGGCCGGACGGTTTGCTGGGGAAGCTCGGAGATGTGGATGCTRCCAGAGTGAGGTGCAAAGGAGTGAAAGCTCCTGTGCTCACACAGGAGTGGGGAGCCTGCATTGGATTCAATGTGTGGGGCAAAAAGCTGCAACCAAAGTACTTTGGTGTGCTGCTTTTCGGTGTTGTTTTGTGTTGTGCATTTTCCAAGTCTGCTGCTTTCTGTACCCACTTAAAAGTTATATTCAAGCAAGTTTGGGCCAGGTGGAGGGGAGGAAGGAACTGCCAGTGGTTTGTTCCACGCAGACTTACCTTTAGGTGCCAGGTGAGACGTGCATCAGTGGCACGTGGGGCAGCACCCGCGCGCAGCGTGGAGCATCCACATGCACGTGGTACGGAGCATCCCCGCGTGGAGCATCCCCATGCACGTAGCACAGAGCGTCCTCATGCACACGGCGTGGAGTGTCCCCGCAGTGGGTGGCAAGCTCTCTAAGATGCTCTCTAAGATGCTCTCTAAGATGCTCCTAGTCTTAGGCTGAGCGCAGCTGTCAGCGTAAATGAGAAGGGCAGATCCAGCAGGGCTGGAGTGATGGTGCTGGCAAAGATACATCAGTGTTCGAAGCTTCTTTAAAGAGAAGAATTAGAAATTGTTGCCCTACTTCATTTTTCTCTTTCAGTTTTGAGGATGTGCTTCCTGCCAGCATCTGACAAGAGTTGCTTTCTTTGGTTGTTATTTTGTCATAATCTTTCCTTTCATTCTGTATTTTCTCCACTGCT